ATCTTTTACATGGAAACGCCACGTCTTTAAAAATTGTAAAGCCACTTTGCCGTGTAAAAGACACGTTTACTCAAGTACACAAGTAGAATCAACCTCGCCTTGAGTGTGCTGATGTCTGGCCTTGAGTTCACCAATACCACGGCCCTCGTCGTTCAAACATGGTGTTGTTTTGACTCGGGAGCTCCACCAAGGGAGAGGGTTGAGGCTGCCAATTTATCGCCTCCACCGCCCTCGCTGCAGGAGTGGGGGCGAGGCTCCGCACGCACGGCACAAGCACGCACGCGAACCCGCCCTCTCAGAGTGCCCATGTTGCAACAGGCATGGGACGCCATCATCACAGCGGCCGAACACGTAACGGGACCCACACCAGGAAGAATGCAGCGTCGCATTAAAACACCACTCACCAGCCTCTCATCTTTGTGGAATCAGAGAGGGCGAATCTCTGAGGGCTCGTCAACCACCTTGTGTCCAATCAAAAGCCAATCAATCACCTGGCGAGGCCGGGGCCAGGGCTGTTACGTGGCGGGTCGACGGCCGGAACCGGCGCTGCTGCGGTCATGATACAGGCCCTGTTTACACCTCAGTAACGCGGAGGCATTGACGGAGGGCACCTGCCGTCTCGCGACGCCTACTCATGAGTCATGAGTCATGGAGCGGCATGGAGAGACAATAGGACAGACGGCGAAACGGTAAAATAAAGCTGAATAGAGGCATAAATGCCGAAATTGCCCGGTGAAAATGAATGAGATGGAAAAGAAAGGAACATAGAGACAGTAATAAAGATAGCTAGGGACCGTTCTGAATGGGATGCGGTAGGCTTCAACCAATACGGCAGATGAGCTGCAGATCTGAGAGGCGCCAGACAGCCACCGGCGTCGCGCCCGCCGCGCCGTCGGCTCACCAGATGTGTCGCGACTAGAGTTGCAAAATTTCCCTACCGCACTACCGGCATGCCGGTAATTTTTCACTACCGCAGGTTTTTTCGTGGTATTTGGCATATCCTGCCGGTAGCATGCCGGTATTTTTGATTTTGCACCAAAAAAAATTATCAGCATATGATTCAAACTTTGGACACTAAGAGGCTATTGAATTGTAATAACAGCAATCTTAGCCGTGGTAGAAGTTCCATTGCTAAGGGCAATTGTACACATGAACCTCAGCATTTCACAGGTTTGGCTCTAATACAGTCGGGGAAACTATGGTAAAATCTGCCATTTTTAGCAGTCTGCTATTTATAGCAGAATTCTGCTAAAAATGGGTACGAATCTGCTAAAAATGGGTACGGTAAAAAGTACTGTTTGAAAACTGGTCAAACATTCATCTTTCACTCAGAAACACACTATTTTGCATGCAATTTCTATACTACAATTCTCACATTTTCAAATGAACCTATCATTTGCCTAAAACTTTAAGGAACAATGCTGTAAATTTTGCTGATTCAGGAAGCCCCAAATATCATTAGAACTGCTATTTTTAGCAGCTGCATCTGCTAAAAATAGCAGAAGATATATCTATGTATCTATTGATTAATGGTGAAATGTACATGTATAACTGAGCTTTGGCACCCCACGCCCACTCCATCCACCAGAGGAGGCAGTACACTGTTGCCTAGCAGCACCATCTTAAGGCAATGGCACAGTTGACCAGGCTGAAACAGAGACAGAAACAGAGACAGAGACAGAGACAGAGACAGAGACAGAGAGAGAGCTTTTTACAGCATTCAAAAGTGTGGAAGGTTTCTTGAAAACAGTCTGATTACTGCAATACGTGTCATCATGAACCCCACATACCTATCAAAGTTTACTAAGTCCTAGCACGTCCAGACAAGACTGAGACAGTATGCATTTCAAACAGGCAAAAGCATGCAGACACATACAGAAATAACATCAGGTTCTTAAACCGTGAAGCCCCATTACCCATATGGCCCTCGTAAGATCTGTGGTAGACTCACACCATGCAACATTCAATATTCATCTGGTCACGCAATCAGTATGCAATGATAATGATCAACAAATAAACACACACCCACACCAATGTTTTTTTTAAAGATTTGGTACTTTGATGTTGATTTTTGAAAATAATAGTCATCTTGAGGAGCAAAACATGTGAAAAAAATAGTAAATAATTGACCACCAGCCTGCAGCCTGATGTGTTTGACTGCTAGGCTTTGCCAAACTTCTACTCATTTCCAAAAAAATAATTGTCTTGATTCAAAATAGCTGGTCATTACATACACTTTAAAGTCTGGAGAATAAGATGGAGGTAACATTTTTAACCAAAATGGATTATTAAACCACTAAAATGACATCCTAACCATTAAGGTTGAAAAGTCGTGCCAAGACCCAGCAGGGTATAAGCTGCTGTTTGAACAAAGCCAGGCAATGCTATGTGCCAAATTTACCATTATAAGAAACACTGTGGCCAGGGTCATCTTAACAAACCACATAAACGGCTAAATTAACTATTAAAATATGCCTACATAGCTATTTACCCCTTCAATGGTATGACCTTGATAACATGTGTGTCAACCAATCATGCCAAATTGTGTTTGTTATAGTGATGGCCTGTTCTAGTAATGAATCTCAACCTTATGTATTTTTTTTGCTAGATTTTGTTTTCAACATTATTTTCTGTCTATTCTTAATAGAAGAAACATAAAATACCTAAAACAATGACCAATTTCTAGGAAATTTCAGTGCATTCATCTTTCAATGGCAATATCTTATTAAAAAATAGTCGGATCTGAAAGAAAATAGAAGAGGACACTCTCAGCACTATTCTCATCATGGATCTGCCAGGCATTTGATGCGCATTTGCTTCAAGTAGTGCGCAAATCTGTTTTTGTATGGGTCCGTACCCAAATCTGCTATATTTGGGTACGATGACGTCACGTGCGTACCCATTTTTAGCAGGTCCGTACCCATTTTTAGCAGATTTCTGCTAAAAATAGCAGACTGCTAAAAATGGCAGATTTTACCACAGTTTCCCCGACTGAATAAGAATTGTCAAGAATCTACTGTGGTCTATCAAAGGAAGAATACTCATTCATGTTGCAAAAGCACAACCAATTAGTAAGTCTAATGGTAGGTAATAGTTATAATACAATAAAATAAATTAATGTTAATGTCAACATTCCCTAGACAAAAGGCAGAATCAAAACAACACAAAACACATTGTTTGGAAACTGGCCTTGAGTCCTGAGATGTGCTCTGAGATACTCTACAAAGAATTTGACACTGAAAATCCAGCTGAAAAGGCAGGTGTTAGGAAGCCCTGAGCCTAACTTCGGTCCCAAAATGAAATGAAAATGAATTAAACTGGCATTTTGTCTTATCTTTACAAGAAAACACAACATGCAGACCAAATGAATACAAAGTGGCGCAATATGATCAGCTGATCAAGCAACCAAGGATTGACTTTTAAGATCCTCTGTCCCCTAAAAAAAGGATGTAAGCTGATGACGTAATATTTATTCATATGCCCTTTTGGTTGAATTACTCAAGAGAAGTGGATCTTCTTGTAGTGAATAACACTCACAGTGTTGATTTTATTGGATTTTAATATCGTGTTTGATGATTTTTATCAAAAAAAATCATTCACGAGGCAGTAGTTTGCAGTCCTAAAACTTTTTTTGCAGTGTTTTAATCAGCTGGTTAAAAACTGTTACGGCGCATCTGTTTCGATCCTTTATAACCTTGTGTTTGTTCCCGCGTTTGAGATGGGAGAGGATATTATATCGTTTTTATACATATTATTTGGTGACTTCTCAGGATAAGTGAGTTATTAACTTATATTTTTACATGATTCGTATCTTACTCACGAGCCAACAAGCCATGGCGGATAGGAAAAAGCAGATGTTGATCTCGCTTCCTCAGTTAGGAACATGGCCAAATCTGTAGTTTTTTTTTTTATATTGTGATTTATGACTAGCTATAGTTCATTTTAGGGTAATGTGGAAAATAAGAACGCTTGTGGTAAATCTGATTGCTGCTCACTGTGCAGTCCTCAGGAACACATTTCAGTAATTCAAGTTCTTTTTGACCTTGCTTTTTTGATGAATGTGTGTAGGCTTTTTGTAGGCAATACCTCTTTGATTACAGTTGATATTTTAACAGCTGTAAACTGGAATTGAGTTTCAAAATTGTGGTATTTGTGGGGCCAACTCAGCCAAAATCAGGCTGCTGGAGTTTTGGTTGGACAATGGGTGGCTGCTGGGTGGGGCGGTAACTGAAATTGCCAAAATGTGGCATCTCATGTAGGGGTAAGCCAGAATCAAGAATGCAGGTTTTTTAGTATGCCGGTAATTTGGCGGTGTTTTTGCTTGGGGCGTGGTAGCATGCCGGTATCCTAGAAAATTTTTGTGGGGCGGGGCGGTGCCGGTAGCAGCCCATAGGGAAAACTTTGCAACTCTAGTCGCGACGTTCCGCGAGGAGGCACAACTGACGAGCGAGGGAGGCGCGGCACGAATTGAGGGAATTCCAGAGACGCCGCACCTGTTCCGGATACGTCACATGACACGAGCCGCGCCGCGACGCGCGGTCTTAATTACCAGACCCGCCCAGACTATTGCCCGGCGCCGCCTCCGTCCTCGTCCCAGGCACCCCCGTTGCTACCGCCGCCACCACGAACCACAGTCCTAACCGGGCACCGAGTCGGTCGTCAACTCAAGTGATGCCCTTTTGTCAAGTGATGCCCATATCGGCCTAAAGCCAGTGCGGGTGGCAGATGGAGCACGATCAGGATGTGATAGAAAGTGTAGAACGCAATAGCCATTCGTCGAATTGATAGTGTGCTTTAACTGATAGTTTAAATTCCGCCCCGTACGTGCGAACGACCGCTGCCTAATTTGTATGCATATGTACTTACACCCGTTCTCCTGATACGGGCCCAAGTGACGTTCACCCGAGGTATTCTTGCAGTCGCTGTGCCCTCGCCTACATGTCGCTTCCACCCAGTTCATGACCCGACGCATAATTTACCTCCCTCGTCTCTCTCCGTAGGCATCCAGGATGCGGCGTCAGCGCTGTCGCAGCTGGGGCACCCTGCTGGACGCGCCCGACGAGCTGGAGAGGCCGCCAGAGACCGAGATCGAGTACGTGCGCTACCTGCAGCAGAAGATCGCCGACGCCCAGGAGCGTCACCTGCTGCCGCTCAAGGAGGACGTCACCGACTGGCTCAACGCCACGCTAGGTGAGTGACTGGAACGACACATTGACACCGACACAAAACGACAAACGATTAAATTTTATAGTTCAGAATTCAGATAACATCTCTATTCGGGAAGCGCCAATTCTAGGACAGTTTTTTATTTTTAGCTTACTGAATGCAAGCCCGGAAACGTTCGCCCATCACGTTATCAGCCATTGTAAAAACAACAACTAAAAATAGCAATCTTTTCGTATCAGACGGCACATCACCGCATCAAACGTTCGGTGTATCATGTGGGTACTGCAGGATGCAGGACAGCATATTGTTCAGTGGGGCGTACTGCGGGACAGTATATCTTCCAGTTGCGGGAGTGCTTTTAAATCATGCAATAAGTAGCGTCCAATGTAGCCAATATATCATCCCATGTCGTGTACCACGAGATATCGTGCCCAAATGCAAAGTAGGCGGAAGACGCAGAACATGTCATGGTAATGCGCCACGCGAATAGTTAGTTCTTCCCTTCGCTATACTCCGATCGTTGTTCAGTGGTCAGCCTGCCGGACTGTGCTCGGTCCACACCGCTGCAGCTGATATCCGATCTCCCCTTCGCGCCGACGGATCACATGTCGGTCGAGCCGGCGTCATCTAACCGGCGGCGGCGGCGCGGCGGGTCAGACGAGGTGCGGCGCACCCCGCCGGCGCTGTGCCGCTGACCGAGATACGTTTTTCTCCGGACGGCGGCGGCGCACGGCCCGCGGCAGGTGCTGCAGCGGCCCACACGCATACCGGGGAGCCCGCGGGCCAGAGCGGAACTGGACCTAGGCAGTGGAGCCAGGAGGGTCTGGGTCCAGTCAGTTCAGCGTAGGATCTGGGTCTCGACACAACTCCCATGGAGAATTAGGGTTTGTGCCGCAGTTCACCTGAAGGGTCTCGGTTCAGTTACAGCTCGCTTGGAGGGCTTGGACCCAAACATAGCTCAGGCCTCAGACGCAGGTCACAGGCCAGTCTCAGGTCGGGTCGTCAGTCTCAGGTCGGGCCGTCTGTCTCAGTCAAAGGTCGTTTCGCACGGTGAGCGCCGCACACCAGGTTACCGGTGCCATAATCAGATGCGGACCAGAGGCCGGCCGGTGCCGTATTACCGATTGGATGAGCCCACCGCCGCGCCGGTCATCCATTTCCATCGGGCAGGCACACGCCAGCCAGCCATGCTCTCTGCCAAATGAATGAGGTTGTTTTGGGCCATAGTGATTAGCGCGGATGGTTTTCGGACACATCTTGCGTCTCTTTTTGTAAAAGAAGCTGATTCATTTTTGCACGGCATCGCGTGTTGGGCCAAAAGCTTTTCCAATAAGGTTCGAGAATGAACATGAGAGAATGTTTTCCGTGCCGTCAGGCTGATCTGATAAGATCGCACATTCAATGACTGTGATCAATGGAATCTTGATAGAATCTCTCTTCTCAACCATTTATTTAAGTTTTGCTCCATAAGTGTTGCAGTTACAGTGCACCAGAACAATACAACAACGTCAAATCGTATGTTACGGAAGCACATGCTCAACAAAAACAAAGATGCCACCCGTTACATAACTCTCCCACATTTAACCCAGTGACGGCACAGCCCCCCCCCCCCCCCACCACCACCACCCAAACCACCCGCTCGGGCGTGGCCCGTGGCTGCAGTCTCAGTGGCGCCCAGCCGTCTCCGTCCCGCCGCCGACCTCGGCCCAGTGTCTCCGTTCCGGCCGAGGGCGCTCTCCCAACCGGCCCGGGGTCCACTGGCCTCCTCCGGCCGGCGGCGCGGCGTCTCAGCGGTCACTGCTGACCGAGTCACACGGCGTTACGGCCGGTACTGACCGCGTCACAGGCGTTACGGACCGCGTCACGGGCGGTACGGCCTCGGGAAACAGTCCGCTCTGGTCGCAGAAGGCACCGCAGTGACCGGAGACAGGCGGGCTTATTGTTGCAGCACAGGTGAAAAACATCGATTGACGCTTGCCAGTCGATTGCAAAACACTTTATCCGACTCTGATGAAATGCAATGTCAACTGCTGTCAGCTTTCTTGTCGTTATTTCTGGTTATTTCCAGCGGGGCAAGTCAGCATGTCATTAATTTCCGCGAAACATTTGAAAGATGTCAGCTGTCTGTTACAATCATTAAAAATGTCACTTCTTAGTTCCAACGGGTGAAGGGAGCTTCTCTAGCCGCACCCGTTGCCGCAGAACCGTTTCGGATGCACCATTCGAAGTTCAAACCGTAACAACCCCTCACAAAACACAAAGGCAGTCCAAGCCGAGCCGAGCTGTCACCCGCGCCGCCTCACGCCGCAGTTCGCCACTGATCGCCACTGGTGCGCCGGAAATGCCGCGCTACCGCCGACCCGTTACCCGACCATGGATCCGTTCGGTGGCCGGCGGCTACCGCCGCACGCGCCGGAGCGGGGCCGTTTTTGAACACGAGCACAATGAAATACGGGCGCAATTACTCCCGGAAACTGAGCCCAGAAAAGCCGCGCCGCCACCGCCGCTGTTCATCTGTCTGTCGAGATAACTGCGCTCTACCGTACCTGTCTAGTTAGCATGCGTACTCCGCGTGTCGACCGCGGGCTCGATACCGGTCTGCGTGTTCCGCATGTATGTAACCGTGCCACGCATAATAGGATGAATAGACGCTGGCGGCGCGGAGGGCAGGCACCGGAAAAATGCCAGCGGAGCCTGATCCGGAGGCGCCTCCGTGCCTGCCGCCTGGTATTATCGCCTCGCTGGGGCTGCTGGCTGCGTCTTTCACGGTCGACCGGAGTCGTTAGCTGGCTGGCTGGGTCGCCGATTGTGTCCGGCCTTCGGTCCGTCTCGGCTCGTCCTCCGTCAGCGCAGCCTCAGCAGCAGCAGCAGCAGAGGCGGTCAGGTCACGACGGTGTCGGCAGCGGCATCGATTGTCGACGAATCGTCGGATCATCGCTCCCCGATCGTCGGTCCCGAACCTTCCCAGCCACCCGGCGCGCGCCGTTATCGCAACAGTCACGCCGGCTCGGAAGAAAGCGGCGAGGGTGGCGCGGCGGCGGCGTTCGGCGGCGCGGCGGTCGCACGCGGATGGCACGGGTAATGATCCATGACCAAAACACGATCGTTACCGGCCGTGTGTCCATGGCGCTCCGTGATGGCCGCGTGAGATAGCGTGAGAGTTTTCCAGTCCTCTGTCTGACGTCACCTAAAGTTAACCCTCGCATGTGTAGGGGGGGGGGGGGGTCGGATGGACCCCCCCCCCATGGTTTTTCGCGAATAACTCGCGTAAAAAGCGGCCAATCGCGACGAAACTTTCAGTACCCTCGCATTGATCAATTTTACACCTACCCTGAAAATTTTCTGACCCTGACCCAAATGACCTTTGACCTGTGACCTCTTTTCCGAGACCATGTTTGGCCGGAATCGCTATTTCGCGTATGTCGGCACGCACTAGCCGCGTGTTTGCAAGCTTTTCGTGGTTTCAAACGTTCAAACATGTGATTTGATGTTACTCCCGTGTGTGTCAAGGTCACCTGAAGGTCAGGTCAGGTCATTGACCTTTGGTGACCTCGGGTGACCTCGGGTCACTTTTTCGAGTTTTACATGTTTCTAGGCTAGTTTTTGGAGCTGAATTCGAATTTAGCAACCATTTGAACATTTACAAAGTAGTTTTGGTGACTTCGTAACATGTTACGAAGCTGTCAGAGGCGGTTGACACGTACTACGAATACCCGTCACGACGCCTACTGGTTGACCTGACCTGACCTGACCCGACCTGGTCTAAATGCTTCAAAACATCATCTGTGATCAAAACTAACACGATATTCGTGATCAGCACCCCGAAAACCCCTTAGCAGCCACACTTTACGACTTTCTAACAGGTCCCGATTTTCCCGACTTTGGGTCATTGACCTGACCTGGAAGGTCAACCAATGACCTAGGACATTAAAATTGGGTATCATCGGGTTCCTCTCGTCACGGGCAACACGCTCGTTTTTTCCGCGAAGCTCTAGCTCGATCAGGGGCCAAACGGCAAGGGGGGGGGGGTCCAACCGACCCCCCCCTACACATTAGAAGCTGGCAAACGCCGCACACATGCGAGGGTTAAAGGTGTTTGGGGTGAGACGCCGGGGCGCAGGGTGTACCCACGCATTAGCCGGATTGTCGAGGGAGCAAAGGTCTTGGCAGGAGCGTGTGACGCGATCCCCGGCTCGATTACGAAAAGAGCAAAGGTGGGCGAACTGACGTCAAAGCCGTGCGACTGGGTTGATGAATGTGTTATCCCTCGCCCGTATTGGTGTTTTTCCAGCCGCGAACGTATAAGGGGGGGGGGGGGTCCGTTGGACCCCCCCCCTTGCCGTTTCGCCCCTGATTGAGCTAGAGCTTCGCGGAAAAAACGAGCGTGTTGCCCGTGACGAGAGGAATCCGATGATACCCAATTTTAAGGTCCTAGGTCATTGGTTGACCTTGCAGGTCAGGTCAATGACCCCAAAGGCGGGAAAATCGGGACCTGTTAGAACGTCGTAAAATGTGGCTGGTAAGGGGTTTTTCGGGGTGCTGATCACGAATATCATATTAGTTTTGATCACAGATGATGTCTTCATGTATTTAGGCCAGGTCGGGTCAGGTCAGGTCAGGTCAACCAGTAAGGGTATTCGTAGTAGGTGGCAACCGCCTCTGACAGCTTCGTAACATCTTACGAAGGCACCAAAACTACTTCGTAAATGTTCATATGGCTGCTAAATTCGAATTAAGCTCCAAAAACTGGCCTAGAAACATGTAAAACTCGAAAAAGTGAACCGAGGTTATCAAAGGTCAATGACCTGACCTGACCTTCAGGTGACCTTGACACCCACCCTAATGCATGGGGGCAACATCATATCACATGTTTGAACGCTTGAAGCCACGAAAAGACTGCAAACGCGCGGCTAATGCGAGCCGACATACGCCGAATCGCGATTCCAGCCAAACATGGTCTCGAAAAGTAGGTCACAGGTCAAAGGTCATTTGGGTCAGGGTCATGAAATTTTCAGGGTAGGTGT